TTTGACGAATAATAATATTGCAGCAGAGTGCCTAATACGAGAATCATTATATTATTAAATTATATCGGAGCAATAGATATGAGGCAAACGAGTTTCAAGAAATGTAGTATTTGCTTCCACAATAAATTCAGTTGAATGTGCAAATATCCATCTAATTTGGACTGATATTAAATATATGGTGCACAATAACCGCCAAATAGGATGAAGATATATATAGAGCTATATCCAAATCTGAACCGATCACGATAAAACTTAGCATAGGTATTTCTGAGCTGCATTGAATATCTCGTTCCAAATATCATTGTTGTAGAGTACATATTACCCCAAGTCGGATGAAACACATGTATGAGAGCTATAGACATTTCTTATCCGATTTTAACCAACTTTGAAGTATTTGCTGAATTCGGTCGTATGTTCGAAAATATTAATCATATGGTGCACAATTAACGTCAAATCGGATACAGATATATACGGGAGCTATATCGAAATCTGAACCGATTTGATTTAGTTAAGTGCTTTATAAACTCAATATACTGTGTTGTTAACTAATATATGAACTCCCAAGCTGTAAGTCCTTTAGTTCTACGGATATCAACTTGATGTGATAGAAATATTCATAAAAAATTGAAAAATGCATTTATTGAGTTATGCCGCTTTGAGTAACAAGTGTAAAATGATAGAAACTCATACTTTAACCAAAATAATTTAATAAAATTTAAAAATACATAGAAAGTTGGTTCCGTAGAGGGTTGAAAATATATATAGGCTGAAAAATACCATTCTCAGCACTTTACCCGTTACTTAGATATCGACCTACAGTACAGAACTTTAATTTGTACTACAAATATAAACAATACAACAACCAATTTTACATTCTTTTAACAACATTCACACTTTCAGACATTCACAGAAATATTATTATGTTTCACTAAAAGTACCACCCACAAATGTTTGTTTTCTTTTTATTAATAAGCTATCTAACTATATTTTTCTACACTCTTTACTCTTCTCACCGACTGCTGCTAATTTCTATTTGCAAATAAAACACCATCCATTAGAAAAGGTATTAGGTGCTTACAGGGAATTTCTTATTGATTCCATTCGCACAGCAACGTCAGTTAGCTCAACCGTAGAACAACACCCGCAGGAATGGATTCTCTAACCGAACGTCAAACCAACCAATTCCTTTAAATTGGGCTTAAAGTACTGTTTACAAGGATTCGCCACATAATCCCCAACAAACCTCAAGAAACTGTGCGGCAAGAAAGGCATTGGGAAAATGATTCATAGTTTCTGATGAAATCCACTTCCTAGTTGTTTTTCTACTTCTGGTGTTTCGTAAACCGACTCAACAGTGGAGAGTGCATATGTGTATATGTGTCTGGATGTATGTATGTATTTATGCATTTATATATATATGCAAATATTCAAAGATAAAAACGTGTGTGTACGTGCATAATAAATACAAGTGTTGTCAAATTGCACAGCTGTAGTAAAGTCGCCAAATTTTTTCATGTTGGATAGTTAGTCCATTTTTTGGTAACTTTAAAACTTTGCTCGCAAAAGTAAAGTTGAATGAGTAAATTTTTGAATTCAAATTGATTTTACCATTGGGTCAATTGGTTCATCACGATAGAATGTTAACAAATATCACCAGACAAACCAGACCCTGTGTTATGGTCAACAGCTTCTTCTGGATATTCTATATCTTAGTAATCATCCTTGTCTTGATATTATTAGCCAAAACGATTATCTCCACTCAGAATTTCTCAACACCAAGACAATATGGGTTTGGAACGTGGACATGGGGACTATACCAAAATATATTCATATGCTGGAATTTTTCTGTTAGATTAGCCAAATCGATCGGAAATTGTTGTGAAACACCTCGAAATAAGTAAAAGCACGAGGTTCCGATACATGGTTGCTACTTCAAAACACCAATCTACATTGGCAATTTTCTGGAAAGAACTTTCCTACTCCCTAAGAAACCAAATTAGAGCTAAATTAATTGAAAAATGTGGCCAAGACACCGGAAATAGCTGATATAGGGGATACCTTCATATGTGGGCCTATATTGATAATTACCGAAATTGGTATGAAAAAGATGGCTAAAATGTAAAAAAATACTTGAAATACCTTATATAGGTTTTACTAAAACCATGGACCGGCATATTCCATATTTTGTACAATTTCTACAAATGCCTGTATAAAATGTCGAAACTCTACTTAAATTTTGCGAAGTATAGAAAAAAATAGTTTAGGCCCTGTGTGTATGGTTAAGGCTATATATCGTTAGCTAAAATGCAAAAAAGGCTTAACTAACAAAGAAATAATTGCGCAGGAGTAGCAAAAACCTTTTTTAAATGGTAACTATAACCATGTCGAACGAAGATTTTTTTAAGTAATCATCATGCTTTTGGGTTGCGTATGGTCCTTAAACATACATTTATAAATAGTCATATGATGAGTCGGCAACTTTATAAACTGTTACTAGCTACCCCCAGCTTAATTGTTGTTGTTACTATTCAGACAATATTTTGAACTTATATGTTAAATACAATTTTGAACAGTAAGTTCCCTATATTTGACGACCAAGCCTACACCCTTAAAAACAGGCCATATTATATTTGTAATTTAAGAAAATATATTTTAAGCAATGTAAACATATCCTAATCAGAATCCGATTAAAGCCCCAATATAAAGTTACTTAAATTTCGACATAGTCAGTCGATTTTCTATGAAGGATTTTCACCATAAACAATTTTTTGTGTGTTGAAAATAGGATTTGTTCCTTCCTTGTTTTGTTCAAAAAATTGCATATTTTGTAATTGGAAAATATAATAATTAGAAAAATGTTGAAAAATAGTAATTTTTGCAAAGCTTTAAGTTGGCAGATTTATAGATATGAACCTGGCGTATTTGGGTAATACAGACATACAAAACATTTCACCATAGTGGGGAAGTTGAATATTTGTGTACGCTACGTCGAATTTTAGGTAACGCTGTAAAAGCAAACAAAAAATTGTTTTGTCGCATTTTCTTGAATTGAATTGAGCAATCACAACTGTGATTTTTACAGCCTCCGCCGTAGTATGGAGAGTGTATTAAGTTTGTCATTCCGTTTGTAAAATATTTTAGACCCCACAAAGTATATTTATTCTTGCTCAGCATAAAATTCTATGTCGATTCAGCAATGTCCGTCCGTCTATCCGTCTGTGGATATCACTCTAGCTTCCGAACGAAATGAAGTAGGTTGATAAAATTTTACTCAAATATGTATTATGTCTGCAGGACTTTTTGTTGTTGAAAATGGACCGTGTAGGTCCACGTCTTCGTATAGTCCCCATATAACGGTACCTCCAGATATGCGATATTTTAATGATTTTATCGACATTATTTACCGGAATTGCTTTCAAATTGGTATTTAAAGATAGATACTACGGCTTAAGACAGAAAATGGGTCATATAACGGTACCTCCCGATATTCGGTATTTTGATGATTTTGGAGGCATTTTTTCCGGAATTGTTTCAAATTTAGTATTTGAAGTTCGTAATGAATACTACAGCCTATGACAGAAAATTGTCTGTGCAGGTCCACGTCTTCGTATAAACCCCATATAACGGTACCCCCCGATATTCGGTATTTTAATGATTTTAGCCACATTATTTACCGGAACTATTTCAAATTTGGTATTTGAAGTTCGTAATGAATCCTACAGCCTATGACAGAAAAATGTATGTGCAGGTCCATGTTTTATAACCCCCATGGTACCTCCCTATATTCGGTATTTTTTATTTTAGCTACATTATAAACAGATTTTTTTTGTAGTTTCATATTTGAATATTGTAATAGTTTTGAGACAAAAGTTGCCTATGCAGGTCCACGTTGTCGTATAGATCATAATATGCGGCTACATTAGGTATTTTTAAGATTTTAAAAGAATTTTGAAAAATTGCCAAATTTGTACCAATTGGGGGAGGGTATTCAAAGTTCGGCTCGGCCGAACTTACTGTTTTTTTTTTACTTATTTTCTTTCAATCGAGTTCGCCCAGCATCATTGTTTATTCAACCATTCAATCAAGTTGTGACAGTTTTTTTTACTTTTATAATATTTGAGATGGAAAAGTATTGTGATAGTGCGCCGAAATTGTTGAAACTACACACTGTGTAGGCAAACGAAATGGTCAAAGTTTTGTAATGAAAATTTTGACCAATATTGTAACATAAAAAAAAATATTTAAACATTTTTTGTTTAACAAATACCATTGATGTATTCGTTTATTAAAAATGTTATTTTTTTTAGAAATAAGTCACTGAAGTCTAACAAGCAACAAACCCAAATAAAATTAAAAATTGTCTGTTTATGAAATATAATTTGTAAAAAAATCTTTAATGGGGACAGCTTTTAGTTATGAAATCCTTACTAAAATTACAATCATGATTTCGCTCAGATTCGAAAATTTGCGTTTTGATCAAATCAAATCACTGTCTTAACGGAGATGAATCAAAGCGATTAGACTCGTCATAGATTATAGCCCCGTTATGAACAATTCAACATAAGTTCGTAAACAAATAACTCATAAGAGCTGTTTGATTTCGAACACAAAGCTTCAATTCATGTTCGCTCGCAACTTTTTCGTTTCGCATGAGCAACTCGAATTATCATGTTACATCTGACTGACTGTTTGAGATTGATTGTATTTCCACTAAGTGTGATCAAGCTTGCTCAATCATACTCATTGTAGCCCTCTGATCCAGACCGAGAAAAAAATCACAAAAATAGCATTACTTTTTGAACATTCTTTAAATGTATATATGTACGTCTTCATATAAGATTACAAACTCTCGCATACACTAACACACACACACACACATCTACCTACAGAAACCCATCCATTCTGGGGGTTTTATGCATTTCATAATTGAAAAAGTGAAAAAAGACAAGAAAAATAAAATTTGTTTTCTTTCTTCCCTTTTGCTGTTTGTTACGTTTCAGAAAGTGGCGCACATGGATGGAAATAAACGCAAATTCACAGAAAAACTGAGGAATAAAATTTAACACATTTCATGGTACAGCCAGCGGAAAAACGAAATGAAAAGTGTCAGTGAAAACGAATCTTGTGAAAATATAAACTGAGCCAACAGTCGTACCAAGCCAACGACACACAACACCAACAAAAACAGCAAATCCATATGAATCGAAGAAACTGGTTTCAACTACAAAATATGATTATACTTTACATTTATCATAGAAACGCGTACACTTCTTGCCACCATCGCATCATTTATAGTCGTGGGCTGGTGCCCGCCCCATCACTGCTTCGCCACCCCAAACCAAAGAAAGCAAAAACGTCTTGTGCTGCTGCCGCTGCTTCAGCTATACCATAAGCTCGAGTCAAGGAAACCACAAGTTAAGGAGAACGCCATTTTAACGGGTTTCCTGCAAAATATATATCTCATACTAATGCCGTATTTCACGCATTTCCGGTTTGTTTTCACACAGTGCACTGCAGCGAAGGAATAGAAAAACGTGAATACAAGATATCCGGACGAACGCGAAACTTTACCACGATTTACCAGCAACGCCAACCGAACTGATACAGCCTTCATCCACAAATGGTAAAATCCTCTTCCCTAGCCATCCAATCTCTTCTTGTGTGCGATATTTGTATAAATACTTTAACGATTGTCGGCGAAAAAAAAACCAAACGGACGACGCATCTGACTGCGAAAACCCGTAAAAAAGAAGAAGAAATAAAAACAAAAATATAAAACTTAAATCAACCAATCTGCTTGGCACACATACACTTACTTACACACGTGAAAACTCTGCCACATTGTCTGTGAAGGCAATGAATTGAATTTGCAAAAAGTTAAACTTCACAGAATACCTTGAGGAAGAAATCACAGTTGACTGAACGTTGCCGGGGATTAAACGAGGAATACGAAAAATCTCATCACAATCGCCATCATCATCATCATGGACAGCATCCATATATTCCTCATGGTGATTCTTACAATTGGTGAGTAGACTTGTTGTTGTCGTTGTTGTTAATTTCTTCAATAAAATCGGCTGGGAATGAGTCGCGACTTTATTTCATTATTAAATACACCACTTTCGATATAATATTTCGTGGTTACAATGTTGCGTTACAGGGTGTTTTGTTCAGTAAGGTATACTGAAGGTTGGGAATGCCAGTATTGGTGTCATCACTATGCGGGAAGGACTTATATAAATTACTGATTTTAAAAAGGCTCGCCGAACGTTATGTCCGTCAAACAATGTATTTCCTTAAGAATTGAAAAAAATGTACTTCGTGAACAATTTCCGCCAATACCAACTGTTTATTGTGGTATATTTAAGTTTCTATTATAAATTTTTATTCTTTTTATGTTTCATGATGTGGACGCCTAAGGATGACGGCTTGTCAGAAAAATGCAAGTTTATTGGAATCTGGTCCTCCATCTCATATAGTAATGTAAAAATTTAAGGTTGGCAGCTTTGACTGAATAATGCATACACAAATTAAAACAGAGGTGAACAAAATCATAAGCAATAAGTCTCAAGGCAGACCTAAACATTATTTTCTTGATGTCGTACTCCTATAGAGAGTATATATAATAACTCTCGAAAAGATTGAATAATAATTCTCACAAAACTTTGCACAGCGTAATATTTTCATAAAATTTGGATGAATACAAATGATGGGTATTATAGGACCACTCTTTCCCCTTATGGTATAACTATAAATATTAAAAATTAAACAATTTATAAAAAAGCAAGGAGAGGCTACACAATAATTTCGGGTCAGGTTTCTGCAGATTTGATACAATTTGAATAAAATAAATTATTTAAGATATTTAAGTCATTTGTAATATCAAGATTCGCTTACTAATGTTCAATTAGAAGTGTTTATTACTGTGTTCATTTCCTATTTGAAAGAAGATGCTGAAATTTCGAGCGACCCTAATAGATCTGGAACCAATATTTTCCAAAAACCGACAGGCTCCAGCCGGATAAATCACAAATTTCACATTCGAAGCTCTGTTTTTCAAGCATAATGAACATTTCATATATTTCTTTATTTGCGTTTTTTGTCCAATTCTTTCTTGAAAGAATATTACAAAGTCATGTTAGAGGGTTACTTTGGTTTTTGACAAAAGCCACGTATTTTGATGATTTCAGCCACATTTTCCAATGGAATTGTCTGAAATTCCACACAAGGGTCCCTTGCGAGCACTTTATCCCTTGGAAGAGAACTATCTTTATAGGTCCACGATATCGTATATCCCCCACATAACGGTACCCCCCGATAATCGTATTTTGATGATTTTAGCCACATTTTCCAATGGTATTGTCTGTAAATCCACATAAGGAGTTCTTTGTGAGTACTTTATCCCCTGGAAGATAAATATCTATATAGGTCCACGATATCGCATGGCCCCCAAAATATTAAAAAATCTTTTCGGGTATTTTGGGAACATTGATGTATTTTTATACCCTACACCATACTATGGAGGGTATATTAACTTTGTCATTCCGTTTGTAACTCCTCGAAATACCCATGTCAGACCCAACAAAGTATATATATTCTTGATCAGTGTAAAGTTCTAAGTCGATTTAGCGATGTCCGTCTATCTGTTGTAATCACACTATCTTTCGAACGAATTGAGATAGAACGCTACAATTTTGCACATGTGTTAGTTTTTCCAGTAGGCAGGTTAAGTTCGTAAATGGACCATGTAGGTCCACGTTTTCATATACACCTCATATAACGGTACCTCCCGATATTCGGTATTTTGATGATCCTAGCGACTTTATTCACCGGAATTGTTTCAAATTTGGTATTTGAAGTTCGTAATGGAAACTACAGTCTGTGACAGAAAATTGTCTATGCAGGTTCACGTCTTCGTATAGGCCCATATACCAGTACTTCCCTATATTCGGTATTTTGACGAGCTTAGGCACAATACTCACCGAAATCGTTTGAAATGCCGTATTTGAAGTTCGTAACGGAGCCTATGACAGAAAATTGTCTATGCTGGTCCAGGTCTTCGCATAGCTCCGATATAACGGTACCTCCCTACATACGATATTTTGATGATTTTAGCTACATTATTCACCGTTTATTTCAAGTTCCGAATTTGAATTTGATAATGACTTGTGGCAAACAATGCCTGTGTGTGTCCACGTCGTATAGACACCAATATAACGGCTATATTCGGTATTTTTAAAATTTTAAAATAATTTTTTAAGGATTTTACTTTCAAATTCGTTCCATATGGTGGAGTGTATTCAATGTTCGGCCCGGACGAACTTGCTTCTTTTTAACTTCTTTTTACTAAGTTATTGTGAAATTTGATTAAGAACATATTTGTCTTTTACGCTGTCCTTCTAAAATAATGCTTGTAGGAGATTTTTGAATAAACTCACATAAAGTACAGGGGAGATAAGAAACTACAACAAGTTATAATTTTTAGATTTTATTGAATGAAAACAAAAAATATCGATGCACTTTTGGAAATTTCAATGGCCTTACCCCGAGCTCCACATTTGCCGAATGGCATAATGGGATATGATCATCTCACGAGCTATTTTTCGGCCACTGCGACGCGGTTTTCGAACAAGTTGCTTCTTTACTTTACGAACCATTTCTGGTGATGTTGCTGTTTTTTTCCGTCCACTTTCTTGACATCGGGCTACGCTACCAGTATCACGGTAACGAGCAATGGTACGGGACACAAAAGACTTATTCACATTTAAATGCCGGAGTGCTCTAACGATAGCCACTTGTGGTTGTCCAGCCAAATATAAAGAAATCGCACTATTACGCTTGAAAAAATGCTTTTGTACGCTTGTAAACAATATAATCAGCTGTCACTAGAAAAATTTTAGTAGCTATCGAACGAGTGGCTTGGAAATGACAACAGTCTGAAGTTGGTTGCAGTTTTTCCAACTCACCCTGTATATATACATATATATCGATTTGACGTCTGAAAGTAACAAACAAATTCTATTCAAAATTTGCCTATAAATCTCATAATAAACAATACATCTAGATACAATAGTTTTTATGAAAAAAAAAAAAAAAACAAATAAAAAAACAGTAAGTTCGGCCAGGCTGTACTTTGCATTTCCTCCACAACTTAGCAGGATCTGTCACATGTTCAAACAAATCTGTTGAAAAATATTGCCAAATCATAATAGAGGAAGTTGCCAGACTGTAGTACCTATTGCAAACTTAAAATACAAAAATTCCGGTGGATAAACGGTCTACATCGCTAAGTCGACATTAAAAACATATCGTTTTTTAAATCACCGAAAATTTTATAATGAGTGAGTTCTGGGTTTAGAATATATACAATATACTTTGCCTAAGACAAACAAAGGTATTACTTCAACTTCAATTCTAGGGTTCATATTCAATACATGATTCTAAATATTATTGTCAAACTTACATGGAGTTCGGAGATGGGCAACATCAGTCCACTCATTTTGGTACATCCACCATAAAAGATCAAAATTTCCAAATTTGCTCGTTTTTTTTTTCAAATTTTTAATTTTATAAAGCAATAAAAGTTTAAATGATTTAAGTTCTTAGACCAAAAAAAAAAAATAAATAAATAAAAAATTATTAACACTGAACTAATCCAGACACAGTATCGCCGGAAAACATCATGCTTCAAAACAAATTCAATGCATACGGAATGTAATAAATATTTTAAATATTAACACTTTAACTAACGCGAAAAGAAAAACAGAAAATAAAAAAAATCCGAATAGAAGAATTTATTATCACATCAGCCGAATATTTCCATGCAGGATGTCCTCTAAACTTTTTCAGACTTTAAGTCCTAAAATATTTTTCATAAAATGGAACTTAATGTTGCGGAATTCATCATCAATGTATATATATTTCATTATTATTTCCCTTTTTTATCGCATGTCTGTTATGCTACAGAGGAAAAAGTGCACATAAACACATACACAGGCGGCAACGTTAAAACACACACACGTACCATTGCCAGTGTAATACAGACAAATTAAAAGAAAATCTAATGTATGTTATATGTATGAGTAAGTGTGTGTGTATGTATGAATGAGAGTAGGTTTTTATGATCGACTTTTTGCTGATATAAATTTATAGGCGCATGAGTTTATTTGTTGTAAACATTTATGACAGCAGATATGACGTTTAACCACTTTTATACGACAATGGAGAGTTGTTTTATTATCAATATTATCCGTTTTTCGAGTTCAGCTGTGATTAATGACTCGAAATTACAGACAATTGAATTTTTAAAGAATATTGATTTTTAATGATTTTTTTAAAAAGTAATGTAGTCGTCATTGGCTGAGGTACGCCAAAATAAAATGCGTTTAAATCAAAATTCAACCAAAAATCATTTTTATGTCCTCCATACTGAATTTGGTCGGAATTGGAAGCATGAGTTAGAAGTGATCGGCGGATGATTATATACGATAGTCTCGTGCAAACATATCATATAGGATGTATCCAAAATAAACAAATAGTAACATAATAATAGCGAAAATAATGTGGTTTTTACAATGTCCAAAATATTTTTATTTTCACCGAAAAAAAGATCTGATAAGATTGCTATTGTATTTTTAATAGCCACATGCGTAATGACTAAATAAAAAACGGTTTTATAAAATCTGCAAAACACAGGGTGAGATGAAAAAAGTGCAACCAAATTCAGACTGGTGTAATTTCCAAGCCACTCGTCCGACAGTTGCTAAAATTATTCCATTGGCAGCTCATTATATATTTAACAAGCGTACAAAAGCATGTTGGTGAGAATTTTCCAGAAAAAAAAAGTTATTCGTGATGGAATTCAAGCGTGATACTGTGATTTCTTTATATTTGGCTGGAAAACAACAAGTGGCCATTGTTAGAGCACTCCAGCATTTAACTGTGAATAAATCTTGTGTGTCTCGTACCATCGCTCGTTACCGTGATACTGGTAGCGTTGCCCGACGTCCAAGTGGACGGAAGAAAAT